AACGATTGGATCGCCCTCCTCCACTTCAAGAGGGTCGATTTTTTCTTTTGGGAATTTTGGAACATCTGATATTAAAAAAAGAATTTTAAGACATTATTTAAAAATTTTTATGTTCCATGTAATGTCTTAACATTACAAATAATATATTAAAGCATTCTTTTTAAAAATAGGAGCATTTTAAATTCAACACCCTACAAATCTTAGTTGTCCTCTTTTTCCTGCAGAGGAAAATACCGTTTAGAATCTGTAACGCATCCTTATACCACCTTAAAAATACTTGTGCCTTTTGTAATTGTCGACAGCAGGCATTTCTGTTATGTGACATCAGTAAGGCAACAATATGCTTGTGCACATTTCTCTATGCAGACGTCTAAAGCTCTGAATCATAGGAGTCACTAGTTTTTAAGTTTTGATAGACATGGAACCTTTTTTCTCCAAACACTGTGATCTAATTTTAGATGGGTACATATTCTCTATCTTTTGTTTCACTGTGAAGCTCTTTAATGTGATTGGCAAATAGTCTATTCAGAGTATAACCAAACTAAATAAACCATTCAAGACCCTCATGGGGAAAAAGGCACAAATACAACGAAAAGCCAAACATGACCACTGTAAATTGAAAGAGAGCCACTCACACTGGAATCACTCCCAGCAAATGAAATTTTAAGTGAAATGGAATTAATGTAGGAAAGGAGACTTTGTGAGTTTTCAACATATTGTTTCTTTCCCAGGCTCAAATCAATTTCCTAAAGAAGCAATGTAGTTACACTGGGAACATAAGTCACAACTGTGCAGAATTTGAAATCCAATACCAATGTTTGATATTTTTACGAAATTTTTTATAAAATAGTTTTAAGAATATTCAAAATATATTCTGCCTGAACATTATTTGTATCTTTCATCTTTGTTAGGGGAATTTGCATTATAGAATTACTCAGGTTCTGATGGACGAGAAGGACTTTAGGAAGGTATTGATGACATTACTGACCTGATGGAATTTATTAGCAGGTATTCCAACTCTGTACTTCATCCTTATATTGTGGTTCACAGAAGATTACCGTTATTCTTGGAAGTCTAAAGATACACTATTCATTGTGAACTTTCTTCTTGAGAAGTTTTGTACTGTTTCTGTATATTTGTTCCCTTGCCCCTTAGTGGTGGAGGGAATTTGCTGACCTTTTTCTTATCAATGCACTAGCTGGTTACAATGAATTGCTTTTTGTCTAAGTTCAAGGACCCTTCAAGGCTTAACATTGCAGGGGGCAGTGTGGTTATAACAGTGCCTTTGCCAGTTCAAAAGGCAGGTGTCAGGCATGTGACAGTCCTCCCTCAGTGGATTCCCTTGTGCTCAACCCACTCTAACCGATTTCTCCTGGCAGGTCTGGAAATATATTTGGGATGGCAACCATCTCGGAACCATGCTTTTGCTCTTGGGAGCATGAAATTTCCATAAAAAGATGAGAAAGCGCACTCAGTACATTCCTACATTTACCTTGTAGATAAAATATCAATACCACAGCCTTAGCTTTGACTCATGGCAAATGTTTTGCAAGTCGTTCTGCAGAAAGTATACCTCATTCAAATGCAGTTACTTACAAAACTATTATATATCCTGAGCTCCAAATTCAAATCACCTGTTTTAGTATAACCTGCTATAACTGAAACCCAGTGTTTACTGATATTGAAGTTGGCAGTGTTGTTCAGTAATCATTGAATCTGTTTATATTCATATGCAAGAAGCAACAGAAGAAGGGCAACACAGATTAGGAAATGGAAGGAGCAGGTAATCTCGTTCTGTGACAAGCACACCGCAGGTTGCCTAACATGAATACACAGTTCCCAGGGTGGGATCTATTGTAAAGTAGTATAAAGCTCTAATTGGAGATCTGCCTCCTCAAAGCACTCAGAAACATCTAGTAATTCAGACAGACAGTACTGCCAGTGAACCACTATCTTCCTTACATTAATTACATCTAGATTATAAAAGTGTAATTCCAAAAAATCTAACTATGCTATTCAACTGGCTTCCAAGGCATCCATAATAAAAAACAAATAAAATAAAATTTATAAGTCTACCAAGCCCTTTATCACATGCCATGAATCTTTGGAACAGCTTTTGACCAAAGATGAAATTAATCTCTGGAAACGGGGAAGAATATTTATATATGTAATAATTAAAAATCTGAGAATAAATATCATAAGGGACATTAATTTGTCAGGTTTTTTTCTAGGTCTTATTCTTTGACTTTGAAACTATTTAGGGAGTCTACTGGCAAGCTAGAAAGTGAGCATTTTAACATCCACAAATAAATGTGAAATGTGATTATTATAACTGAACAGCAGGTATGATGTCTACCTTAATTCAAATAAAGAAATGACTATCTAAAAATAACTCCAGCCAATGACTGTGCTAATTGTGTTTCTCTGCTGATAAACATTAGCATTGTTGAGTTTGGACAGATGCAACGCTTTTAAAAATGAATCATAAACAATAATTTTTCTTTTGTGTGAGGCAACTACCCTGCTTTAGCTTGCCAACATGTTTCCAATGAGCGTGCCAGCAACACCAAGAACAAAATCACTTAACTGTGTTTCAGTAAGGCTGGACCCTGACCGTGGAATGGCCTCTCTGCAAAGGGAGCAGAACCTTATACGTCAGCATCTATGTAAGCAGGACTTTAAGAATGTTTGGAAATCCCATAATAACCAAATGCAGATGAAGACACACACACACACACACACGCGCGCGCGCGCGCAGACAAATTTCGAATAACAACTCCAAGCGTACAGGTCCCTGAAAACCCATCTACCATGAAAAACTTTCCTGGAGACAAATGAGCGACATGCTAGTCTTCTCTTTGGAGCTATCAACATACAACAAACCTGCGAATACAAATCTCTAGGGACTCTACAACCTGAGGTACTGACAATGAGTTTTGAAAACCATCATCTTAATTCTTTTGACTTAACATACTAGAAAAACCCTTCATACTTGAAATATAGAAGACTTCTGAGAAAATATTTTGCATCTATAGGATAAACTGGGTTCTAGCCCAAGGACTGAAACTATGTAGTTTTAGACCAATATCTTTATCTTTCTGTGCTCCCTTCTACTTCTCTCTGGCATCCTAGAATCCTTTGAATTCATCTCTCTGGGCTCCTCAAAAGTCTTATTAGGTATTAAGTTTCTTAAGAGCAAGCTGTAGAGTCCCACCATGCCAACATGCTTAATAGTAACGGTAGTAATGAAATGGCACCATGATACTTTAACTAAACACAAATCATTCTGACTAACCACTGCAATGACTTAACCACTATCAAGTTATGTAAACTACAGATTATCTTCCCTTGGCACCCAAGGGATACAATCAGATCTTCCTATATTCTCTACCTTGTCTGGGTCTGATACTCTACTGCCAAGGCATTTTCAATAAAGAAGTACAGTGCTTTTCAGTTCATCTAGAGGATGTGTTGACTAAATGATCAAAGCATAGGCAACACAGTACAGCATCGGGTGATACACATGTGCTCTGCAGCCAGCTGCTGGGGCCTGAATCCTGGCTTCATCACTTGCTATGTGAACTGACTTGTTACTTAATATGCTTCAGTTTCCTCACTCACAAAATGGAAACTGTCATGACACCTCATTCATTGATTTGTGTCAAAGTTTAAGTTAACAATTTCATAGAAACCAATTAAGATAGTGTCGGGCACTTAAAAATCACTCAATGTACGTTGGCTATTATTCAAATATTTTCACTTTGCATGGTACCCACAGCCACACCATAGAGAGATGAGACAAAGGGACAAAGAGCTTTGTTTTCCTGCTGTTTCTGATTTTTCATGTAGCCTATATCGTAACTTCTGAAATTTTATGCAATTATTCAGAATTAACTTTCTCAGAGGAGGTAGAGAGGGGGTCAGAAAGAAATACTATGTATTTCATTAACAACCTACGATTTGTTTAATGAATTATTCCATGCCCCCTTCTCTGTCCTCTCCATCATTGGGCTAACCTTCCTAAGCCAAAGAGCTTTATTTATTTTTGACTTCTCGCTCTGTTTACAGGACTGGCCTGGGGAGCTTTTGAGTGCCTTGCATTTCCCTTGAATGTACTTGGCAAATGGCGTTCAGTCTGGTGTCATTATCATGAATGCATGCTACTGAGCTCACATGCTGTATCACCCCCAACTCCAGTTTCTGTCTGTAAAGAGATTTAATTGATTCCCATTTCCTGTAGAGTAGCCCATTAATCCATTTAGGACCACAGACAAATAACATTGCCTTTCACTCTATGAGCTGGTAATGAATTCACATGAAGACAGGACGACCAATTCAATCCATTTCATTCTAGTCATTCACGTACTCTGAAGGATGAGAGCAAAATCCTCGGCCTTAATTAAACCTTTACAACTCTTAAGTTGCACCCTCAACTGAACAAATTGATCTTCTTTGGTTGGTTTGCATATATTAGTAGAAGAAACTAGCATATATAGCTACTAGACCTCTGTTTTTGCTGCCCAACCTCTCCCAAATCAGAACAGCAAATATCCACGGTATGTCTTAAGGAAATTGTCCTGCAGAATCTGAGGAAGCTGTACCAATGCAGAAACCGAGCACACTAGAATTCTAATTGGTTTCCATGAAAACAGTACATAGATGGTTTCATCCTAAGCCTACCACTCCTTAGATTACTTTAATAGCAGAAGATTACTTTAATGGTAAAGTAAATAGTAAAATAGATTACTTTAATAGTGTATAAATTGCATTATTACTTTCATTCAATCTTTTCTTCAGCCTCTGAACCAGTACATCAATTACCAATAATATGCATTCTTACAGCACCAATCAGATGATATAGAGGAGGAAGAATAGGACAGCATGATATCATTCTCATTTTCAAGCATCCTAATTAATACATATAACAGTGAAGAGACTCTTACAAAAAATAGGAAGTAATGCTTTCAGACTTCCAGAGAATTTATACATGGATATTCCTAACATTACTAATTATTACTAATGCTACTACTTGTAATAGCGAAAAGTTAAGAACAATCCAAATGGATATCACTTGGTGAAAGGATCAACAAAATGAGATACATTAGTATCATGGAATATTATTCAGCAATAAAAAGGAAAAAACTACTAATTTATCCTACATGAATCACAAAACACAGGCTAGGTGGAAGAAACTAGATGGAAAATATCGTATGTTGTATGATTTCATTTATATGAAATGCTCAGAAAAGAAATTTACAGAGGCAGGACACTGCCTGGGGCTGCAGGTAGGAAGAGAGAATGCCTACAGATGGGCACAGGGGATCTTTTGGAGATGACAGAAATGTTCTAATACTGACTAATGATGAAATTTGTACTAAATTTTTTTTATGAAATAAAGTCACTGATTGTGCACTTAAAGTGAGCAAAATTTATGATGTGTAAATGATACCTCAAAAATCATTTAAAGAATCCAAGGACAGAAAAGTCATCATAGGCTAAAATGGATTAAGACTGCTAAGGGGAGAAGGCTGATCTGTGCCCTGAAGAATGGGTCACACTGAACAGCCCAAAGAGAACTATTTGTATCATTATTTTAACTCCACTGATCTGTAGCAATGAAGATGAGAACAGCCCACCTTACCCCCAGACTCTCACCACATCCAAAGGACGGAAGTTTCTTTAGGACAGACTTTGTTTTGCTCACTGCTGTATCTCAGATTACTAGAAAAGTGTCTGGAACATGAGAGGAGTTTAATAAAGATTTGTTGAATAATTCACTAACTCCATACCACATCTTGGAAAATCCAGTTAAATGATTTTCCACATGTTTGAAAACAGTACATCATGTTTGTTTATTTTTTTCCTTCTTTTTCTTTTCCAAGCAAACTCAAATGCAATTCTGTTGAGAGCTAAAACTAAACATTGTATATAAAGGTTTCTGTTTGTAGGGGGTACTAACAAGATTTTCAGCTACAGTACTTGTGTTGAAACTTAAGTGGATAAAGCCTTAAAGGTTGGTCTAAAGGAAAGTTTAAGAAATGAGAGATACAAACTCTACAACTCGAATCACAAAATTTCTGTCGATATAAAAGAAGAATCAATTCTCTACAGCTTAAGAGAAGAATCAATTGATAAAGCTTGTAGGAAGGTTTAAGCGGCCTCTGATTTATAAACTCCTAAGAATTGGGGTGGCGGTCCTATTCAACTTATGAAACATTACAGAAAGCTGTTAGATGACGAAGTAATTTCAGGAGGGGGTGGAAGTGATGCATAAGAAACCTAATTTATTACATTCTTTTCTACAGCAGCAGAAAAGATGGAGCAATTACCCACTACACAGCTCAGAGCCAATTCTCATCTCTTAACTACAACATTAGCAGATTGCGGCCAGAATTATCCTTCCATTGTTCATGTCTTCACTTGGTCTGCTTAGATAACGAGAGAAAATATATTTTTTAAAATCCTGTAATTGCAGAATCTTATACTAAAACGTGCCATTTCCTTCTTTGCAATAGGTCTAGCAACCGCCTTTTCCTTTGTGTTTCCATAGCAACCACCAGAATTCAGGTTAGAGATCACCCTCATGCTTTGTTTCCTACAACAGATTTTTAATATCTCCTTTTTTCTTTCTCTCATCTTATTTCAGTTAATTAGATATGTATCTTATATAATATAGATAATAATATAGTTATACAATATAGACTATAACTATGGTTATATGGTTATAAATAGTTGTATCTATTTGATTTTATGATTCTCAACCAGTTTTTATGGTAATACTTTCTGACCCAGAATTCATTAACATTTCCTATTGAGTGTCATTTCAAACCCAAACTTCAGAGGCCAGTTTCTAAATTTATGTATCACTACTCTGCCCATAGCTATATCAAACTTAGTAACTCAGTATATGTAATTCAGACAAATCACTCTGCTACATACCTATTAATTTTGTGTGCATAAGAAGACCATTTATAAAATAAATGTAAAGAATAATAATAATAAAAAAAAGAAAGAAATACAACTAACATTCTTTTACCCACCACCCATAAGAAAAACATAAAATCACTATTATCTTTCTGCTTGGTAGAGATTCTATCTCTTCCTCATTCCATTAGAGGTAACTACCATCCCAAATTGTGTTTTCATCATTCTTTTATTTTGCATTGTAATTCTACCACTATCTCCCTTTACTCTGAGTTTATTCTGTTACCCGAAATTAGCTCATTTTCATCTTAAAACTATACTACCTATAAGATTAGATTATTCATTCATTTTTTTACCCTTTCTTCTTTACTGAAGTATTTTTAAGATGAAAAAAAATCCCTCTAACATAATACTTAAGCTGCCTCAAAGTATGTTTTGTTAAGCAGAATTTCTACTATCATCACTTCAAAATATATTCTATTTTCATTTGCTATTTCTTATTTGACCTTTGAGTTAGACATATGTTCATTAATTTTCAAAGACAAAAGGCATTTCTAATTTTCTTTTTATTAATGATTTATAACTTAATTGTATGTTGGTCATATTTACTTCATATCTAATACATCATTGCATATTAAAAAACATTCTGCAGTTTTAGGTATATTATTCTATACATGTTCATCACCTAGGGCTTGTAATTGGGTTCTTTAAATCTTTTGTGTGTTTACTAACATTACTTCTGCTTGAGATACCAAATAATGAAACAGATATGTTAACATCTCTCATTATTATAATAAATTTGTCTGTTTCCCCTTATAGTTCTACTTTTTGCTTCATATATTTTCATATTATATAAGCCTAGTGAATTAATCTCCAGGAAGCCTTTATAAAATAAAGTCTACTTTGGCTATTACTATAGCCATATCTTTCTCTCACATAGTATTTATCTATTGAAGATTATTTAAGGTATCTATTTATCTACTCCAAAGATGGGATAGCTTTTCCATCTTTACAGTTTATATAAGTCTATTTCCCTATGATTTAGATGTGTTATGTGGTAAACAGTTTATACCCTTCTTTAAATCATGGAGTATTAAGTCTATTTACTTTCATCTTTAATTGATTATATATTTAGATTTAACTTTATAATACCCTTCTTTTTTCTCTCCTTTCTTACTTTTTCTTCCCCCTCACACCACAGTTTGATAATTCTCTTCATTTTGCCTCATATTTGTAATGCAATTATTCTGTACATTTTAAGATACATACTTTACTATAGCATCTCCTCTAGAAAAACCTAAGGAGTTTAGAAAAATTTAAACCCAGTCCCCTGGCCAGATTTTTAGGATAAGGCACAGATTCGTCTCATCATTTGTTTTTCTGAGACTGGGTACATTCTGCCCCCATCCACCGCCCCCCAGCATCAAGTGTCCATACCCTGGAGGTCTATGACTTTGAATTTTTCAGTGTCTAGAACTCTGCAAGAAGAAATTGATGAGTAGAAACTCTTTACTGTTTTCTACCTAGGAATTTATTCTGTAAAGCCTTTGGTTAGAATCAATTAATGTTGGACACCCCAAAATCTAGCAAAATAAACAACCAGATGTGAAAGTCAGTCATCAGAGATCCCATGCTACACAGGCTGGATCTGGTAATGATAAAGCCACTTACTCTCGGTGATAATTATTGATAAATAACACCCTTAACAGTAAAGTGGTTTGCAGTTTGCTGTCATTATTTATGGAAAACATTACTAATATATACCAGTTACTGGTTCTCCTCTCCTATTGGGCACCCATGATGTTGAAGTTAGGTGGGCCTGTGTGACTTGTTGTTGGAAGCAATTTTCTATGCTCTCTGCCCCAGACTCTTTGATGATGATGGCAGAAATTTCACATGATGCAGACACAGAATGGCATCTTCATCAGCCTGGATCTCTGAGAGGCTGCATGGAGAACAGTTGCCTCGAAGAGCTGCGGGATCCACCATAAACTGCATCATCAAGGCCTTGTGTTAGCACAGGCTTGGGGATTACCTGTTACTGCAGTGTAACGTGGCCAGATCTAACAAATATATCTAACTTAATTTCATCCTATGAGGCAATGCAAATACTGTTTTTTCCCATGGTCGATATATTATTACTGAAACACTGCAAAATTATGTTCCTTTCAAGGTCATCCACTTGTAAGTATCAAGATCTGGAAGACAATTTCCCTTATAAATAAAATACAAGGCCTATATAAGCTGATTAAATAAATAATCTGTTATTTCATTGGAGCCCTGAATAACTCCTACTTAACACTTCACTAAAACGTGTAAAATGAAATCTCCACTGTAATACTTACTTGGAACTATGAATTCGATTTCTTCTGACATAGCGATTCCCAGTTTATTGGAAGCAAAGCAGCGGTATTTCCCTTGAAAGTGAGCTATGTGCCCCTCATTTGGGATCTTGAAGGTTCCTGAGTTGTTAGAGACAATTATCCGAGGGTCAGAGAGATCAAAAGGCTTGTCATCCTTAGTCCACGAAAATCTATAAAATAAAACAAATTAGTAGCCCTGAAAAATCATAACACATTTCTTAAAGTATTTACAAACAAATGTAGAGAAATGACAAAACCAAGATATCTTAAAGTATATATATATATGTTTTTTAATTGAATGTAATACAAAAAAGGGTCTCCAAACAATCTGAAAAACCTTATAAAGTGCTATATACTGAATGTTTTGGCCCTCTAAAACTCGTATGTTGAAGCCCAATTCCCAAAATAATAGCATTTGAAGGATGGGCCTTAGGGAGGTGATTAAGTCATGAGGGCGGGTCCTCAACAAATGGGATTAGTGTATTTAGAAGAGAGACCTCGAGAACACTCCTGCTGCCTTTTGCCATGTGAGGTTACAGGCTATTTATCAACCAGGAAGTAGGTCATCACCGACACCAAATCTGCCAGTGACTTGGTTTTGCTCTTCTCACCTCCAGAATTGTGAGCAATGTATGTTTTTATTTAGGCCTCTCAGTCTGTGGTATTTTTGTTATAACAGCCTGAACTGACTGAGACACAAGTCCTTAAAAACACTGTGACAACTGAGAGAGAAAAAAAGTAAACAGAGGTTTTGTTCTGTTCCTTTTAACTCAAAGTTACATTTAAATTTTTTCCCCTTAAGAAGATAATGTAGGATCTTTATTAGTATTTTAGGGACTATAATATTTGGAGACTAAAAAATACAAATACATAATGCCTCTGTATGTGTATTTGTGTGTATGAAGAACACATTTGATATTCAAAAACACACAAGTAATATGAAATCTGGTCATATTTACTATCAATACTTTAGACATATTGTAACATATTTGAGACCACAATGAATATATAATTTTGCCATTTGAATTTCTCCAATTATTACAATGCTACTAAAGACAGATTTAATGGCTCCATTATCTTCTGTCATATGGTTACTCCTTAAGTTACGTAGTTATTTCCATTTTTTTCCCTTTTATGAATACTGTGATAAAAAAAATCCTACATATTTATTTTTAAGTACATATCCAAATACGTCATTAGGCTAATTCCTTAAAAGTGAGATTGATAAACCAATAACATAAAAGCAATTTTATAGCTTTTGATAAATATTACAGAATTGTATTTCAGAAAAAAAAATTAGTTAAATTCCTACTCTAGTATGTGACAGTATTAGTTCTATGGACAAGGCTGTAAAAAGCCTTTTTTTTAAAACAATATTTATCAATCTAATAGATAAATAATGGCTTTCCAATTAGATTTTATTTAGTATTATATATCAATTACCCGTGCAAATTTGGGTATGTTTCAGGACAACATATTCTTACATAATTTGGTTATTTTTAAAGGAGTGACAAAACT